TGGTTCAGGTGTGTTTGATTAGGGTTGGAGCTAAACTCTTCAGGACACCAACCCTCCAGGACCGAGTTTGGAGACCCCTGCCTTAAACTAACAGTATTGGTGATTACCAAAACCAATCTTTATATTTATTTTATGAACATAAATAATTTTTTCATGTTCTGTCACAGTAGTGTTTCTAATGCTAAAATTTAATTATTGTTTATTGGATAGATAGATAGATAGATAGATAGATAGATAGATAGATAGATAGATAGATAGATAGATTGCAACCTCATCTCACATCACCCTCCCTCTATGATGATGAAATTCATCAGTAATCATTAGTTAGTCAGATCCAGAGTGACGTACTGCACAGTTTTGCTACAGGAAAATTAACCACTCATCCCACGCAGCATTGTAACAGATGCATCTATATGCAGTACTTTGGATAAAAATGATGAAGGCTATGAAGAAGTCAAAGATAAAAACAAGGTTTATTCCAATATATGCAATTGTAAAAGTAGTTTGCATGTTATTTTAGTATCATTGATATACTGCTAAAATTGTTGTTAATATTTTAAATTTTTGTATTATATTTTCTGTTTTCACTTTAATTTTAGTTTTAGTGCAAGTAGTTTTATTATTTGTATTAGTATTTTTAAAATATGTCTGTAGGTTATTTATTTATTAATTTTTGTTTATTTAATACTTGAACCAAACGATTATTATAAATGTTGCCTTAGCAACTAGCTGAAATAAAACATGTTTACATTTTTTGTATTTTATTATAAATGAACATTTATTTGATTTACAATTTGATTTATTTGATATAGCCCTGGTATAAACTAAATACATTAAAAGTGAAGTTACCTATAAAATCAATCCCTGTGTGGGGAAAATGAATATTATTTTACTTCCAGAACTATTTTTGTGCTCTATTCTGACACCCACTCGTCTCTGCTCTCTGCAGGTCCGGTGTCTGTGGACGTCCCGGTCTCCAGGCTCGGACAGCCCTCTCTGACTCAATGGAGCGCTGTTCTGGAGAGGCGTTTACCGAACCTGACTGGACCCCGTGCACTATCTGTATCACTGTCCAGCCCTGCGTCTGCTTCTATCGGCGTCTACACGCTCCAGCTGAGGGTCGAGGCCCATCTGAATGTGAAAACACACTCGCTCGGCCAGATCACGCTCCTCTGCAACCCCTGGTGCCAAAGTGAGTGCTGTCTGTGTGTCCATACACAACTGAATGCCTTGATAGCAGGCTGTTAGTTGGCAGTGGCTTTTAGCATGCTGGTATGTGGTTGCTAGATACTTGCTAGTCCAAATCCCTCTACATAAAGTCTGATCGATCTGAAAAGTAAATGAAGCACACACCTCTTCCCAACAAAAGACATGTTTCATGTTGGTAGGACTCAAGCAAAATGCGAAATCTTATGTTTAGGTTTACAATGGAACACTTACATTTGAATATACAATTAATTGTTTCTGATCTAAAAGCTTAATTTCAAGTTAAAACATATACATGGGCAAGTACGTGAATATATTGCATGGAGCAAATTTTTTTTTTTGAGAATAATACCTAATGTACACTACCTCTTAAAAGTTTCAGCATCATTCCTCCAGTCTTCAGTGTCACGTGATCCTTCAGAAATCATTCTAATATGCTGATTTGCTGCTCGATTATTATCAATTATAATTGGTACTTAATTGTTAATAATAATTCTCATTATTCTCAATGTTTAAAACAGTTGTGCTGCTTCATATTGTTGTGGAAATCGAGATAAATTTTTTCAAGTTCAAAAGAACAGCATTTATTTGAAACAGAAATCTTTTGTGACATTATAAATGTCTTTCCTTTAACTTTTGATTAGTTTAATGCATCCTTGCTGAAAAAAAAGTATTTTTTTTTTCAAAACCGAACAATCTTTTAGAAAATAGTCAGTGTCTTTAATTGCATTGCTTTTGATGCCATTTTATACACTTCTAAAATTACAGTAATGCACAGCCTCTTATTGCGTACTACTTTCATTTAATGTAATTACACACGGATCACCTATAAAACAAATTGTTGTGTTTTTCTGCAGCTGATTCGGTGTTCCTGCAGTCGGAGGATCTGAGGACTGAATATGTCAGGAGTGATATTGGCCTGCTGTTTAAAGGCAGCCCCGGTAACATGGTCTCCAGACCCTGGTCGTTCGATCAGGTGAGATGTTTGATCGTTGACTGACAGCACAGCACTGAACATGACTTCACATTAACTCCTGTGATGCATACATGTGTTTTCAGTTTGAAAAGGGGATACTGGACATCTGTATGAAATTGCTGCAGTTGAGTCCTCAACATCAAACGGACATGAGAAAAGATCTGCAGAACCGCAGCGATCCGGTGTACATCGGCCGCGTGATCTCAGCGATGGTGAGGATCTGCTCTCATTCTGTCCTCTCTGCTCCTTCTCCCTCTCTCTATGTATTAATATAGTCTCTCTGTCTTTCTAAACAGGTGAACTCTAATGATGATAAAGGGGTGTTAATGGGAAACTGGTCAGGTGACTACAGCGGTGGCGTCAACCCTTCACAGTGGTCCGGCAGCGCAGATATTCTCAAGAAGTGGGCAGAATCACAATTCAGGCCTGTGAAATACGGACAGTGCTGGGTGTTTGCTGCTGTCATGTGTACAGGTGGGACACGTATAAATGATTACATTCAAAAGTTTGGGGTCAAAAGTTTCAAAAGTTATTTTTTTGAAAGAATGCATTCAATTGATCAAAAGTTGAAGTAAAGACATTTATAATATTACAAAAGATTTCTATTTCAAATACTGTAAATGCTGTTCTTTCTATTCATCAAAGAATCCTGAAAAATAAAATATATCACAGTTTCCAAAACAATATGAAGCAGCACAACTGTTTTCAACATTGACAATAATCAGAAATGTTTCTTGAGCAGCAGATCAGCATATTAGAATGATTTCTGAAGATCATGTGACACTGAAGACTGGAGTAATGATGCAGAAAATTCAGCTGCGCATCACAGGAATAAATTACAGTTTAACATATATTCAGATAGAAAGCAGCTATTTTAAATTCTAATGATATTTCACAATATTACTGATTTGACTGTATTTTTAGATTAATTGAATGCAGCCTTAGTGAGCAGAAGAGACTTACTGACCCCACATTTTTGAATGATAGCGTATGTGCTTTAAAGTGTTCAATTTACTCAAAAATCTTTGAGAGCAGATTATTTTATTTTTGTGTGACGTACTCCTTTAATGAGTTGTTGGTCATTTAATTAGTGCTGTTGATGATCAATATCAAATGTGTTTGTTTGTGTGATAGTAATGAGAGCCCTTGGCATTCCGACTCGAGTCATCACCAACTTCAACTCCGCTCACGACACAGACGGAAATATGGTGATTGAGGAATATTACAATGAGATGGGGAAAAAGCTGTCTATGAGCAAAGATAGCATCTGGTGAGTTACGCTAAAAAGCTAAAAAAGTCTCTGTAGTTATAGTGCTAAGACATACATTAGTGTTCAAAAGTTTGGCGTTGGTTAGATTCTTCATGTTTTTGAAAGAAGACTCTTATGCTCACCAAGGCTGCATTTATTTGATCAAAACTACAGTAAAAACAGTGAAATATTATTACAATTTGACATAACTGTTTTCTTTGTGAATGTAAAATGTAATTTAGTCCTGTAGTCTATAGTCCTTAAATGTCTATAGTCCTTATACTTCAGTAAAAGCATCTTCACCGTCTTTAGTATACAAATAAACCGGAATGATTGCGGTGGAAAGGAATAATTCATCGTTTCAGCATTTTTAATCTGTGAGTTAAAAGTGTTTGGCCCTTTTCAGGAACTTCCACGTGTGGGTGGAGAGTTGGATGAAGAGGCCTGATCTGGGTCAAGGCTATGAAGGATGGCAGGTTCTCGACGCCACGCCACAAGAGAAGAGCGCAGGTCTGTCATTACAGTGATTTTTACCAGGCTAACGCATGTAGAAAACATGCTGAAAAGTATGCTGGTTATGCTGGTTAGTACTGGTCCCGTTTAGTTAGGCTTTGTTCTAAAACCTAGTGAGCTGCCTAAATAGCATGCCATCCAATTGCTCTAAATCATGCTATTTTAAAAGAAAAATTTGAGCTGGGATTTGCTGAGAATCATGTTTAAACATCAATATTCTGTCACAGGAATGTTCCGCTGTGGCCCTGCTGCTGTTAAAGCCATTTATCAGCAGAAGGTGGAGGCGCAATACGATGTGCCGTTCGTTTATGCAGAAGTGAACGCAGATGTGCGTACAATAATCATCAAAGATAAGAAGGTATTATCAACCAGCATTGATAAAAAAAGAGTTGGAGCCCTGATCGCCACCAAACGTCCAGGATCCATGCTAATGCAGGACATCACGTCTGAATACAAAACTGAGAAGGGTAAGAGAAAGAGTGATTGGCCCTTTTCAGGAACTTCCACGTGTGGGTGGAGAGTTGGATGAAGAGGCCTGATCTGGGTCAAGGCTATGAAGGATGGCAGGTTCTCGACGCCACGCCACAAGAGAAGAGCGCAGGTCTGTCATTACAGTGATTTTTACCAGGCTAACGCATGTAGAAAACATGCTGAAAAGACCAGTTTCCTATAGGCTGGTTTATGCTGGTTAGTACTGGTCCCGTTTAGTTAGGCTTTGTTCTAAAACCTAGTGAGCTGCCTAAATAGCATGCCATCCAATTGCTCTAAATCATGCTATTTTAAAAGAAAAATTTGAGCTGGGATTTGCTGAGAATCATGTTTAAACATCAATATTCTGTCACAGGAATGTTCCGCTGTGGCCCTGCTGCTGTTAAAGCCATTTATCAGCAGAAGGTGGAGGCGCAATACGATGTGCCGTTCGTTTATGCAGAAGTGAACGCAGATGTGCGTACAATAATCATCAAAGATAAGAAGGTATTATCAACCAGCATTGATAAAAAAAGAGTTGGAGCCCTGATCGCCACCAAACGTCCAGGATCCATGCTAATGCAGGACATCACGTCTGAATACAAAACTGAGAAGGGTAAGAGAAAGAGTGATAAAAAAAGAGAAAAGCATACTGTTAAAATACTGTTCGTTTCATTCAAAAATCTAATTCTTTCACATTTAGATAAACTCCCATTTAATGCACCAGGCGTTGGTAAGTCATTCTAATTTTCTAATGTTTAAAGCTGAATTGTGTAATTCAGTTGACTAGTATCAGCGAAAAAACAAAAAATTAATGGTTGTTGTTAAAGACAATGCATTTTTTCTTGACACAATTTTCCTTCAGAAATCACTAGTAAATTTCACAAACAATTATAAGGAAATTGCAATTGACACATTGAATTAAAGATGAAATTTACAGATAGTAATACTGAAAAAGTTTTTTCTTGTAAAACACTCCAATTTTTTATTTTACTTAAAACTTGAAAAATTATTATTATTATTTTTTTTTTACAGTGCAGGTTTCTTGAGCACTTTGAGGAAACATTTGATCATAAAAACGACACACATCACAAACTGTTAAATGAACTCAATGCCAACTAAATTGATTTTGAGAATATTTTTTATGTAAATATTTTTTTATGATTTTCTTTCAAATATTTTTTGTTGTTCATCTAAGCTCCTGGAAGACACCCTCTTCGAGATGAAGAAAGTGGATGTAAGTTAAAGACAATGAAATGTTGTCGGTGTGGGATTACACTGATACAATTTTGACACAATCAGAAATCACTAGTAAATTTCACAAATAATTACAAGGAAATCGCAATTGACACATTGAATTAAAGATGAAATTTACATATAGTAATACTGAAATAGTATTTTCTTGTAAAACACTCCAATATTTGTTTTACTTAAAACTTAAAAAATTATTATTATTATAATTTTTTTTACAGTGCAGGTTTCTTGAGCACTTTGAGGAAACATTTTATCATAAAAACGACACACATCACAAACTGTTAAATGCCAACTAAATTGATTTTGAGAATATTTCTATGTAAATATCTTTTTATGATTTTCTTTTAAATATTTTTTTTATTCATCTAAGTTGCTATCTCAAGACACCGATTTCATGAGGATGACAGCGCAGGTGAAAGGGAAGGTGAGTTCTAGCATTTGGTTTTCTTCATAAACACTGCTCCCTGTTTGAGTAATATGACTGAATGCTGTGATCTAACATGTCTTTTCATGCAGCTTCTAAGGGCATTGAAGTTTCTCTCCAGCTTCTGAAAGCCCCTGTAGTCGGAGAAAACATTTCTTTCAATGTCATAATCACTAACAATATGGCCGCTCCGAAACTGCTGAAAAAACATGTGAACGCTCAGAACAAGGAGTACAACCGCAATCCCACTGGAACCTTCTGGGAGGCTCATGACGACGTGAAGATCGCCCCGAATGAAAGTAAGAGTCCTGCAACCTGCAAAATGAGTTTAAAATGTACTTAGAACCAAAAAAATAACAAATAAAATAAATCACAACCTGCAAGTGTTTTACACAGTTATTCTGCTGCAGGGGTGGACGATATGGCAGAAATATTACGATTTGTTCCACAATCTTATCACAATTATTTTTATTGTTGGGTTTTAAGAAACTAATTTTTCTGTTTAAAAAAAATAAAGCCGGGTAAGGTAACAAAACAATAGAAAATGACAGACTACTGATTTGGGTTCAACTGAATGGATTTAATTCCATTAAATCTAAATTTATGCTAATATCAATATTCTGGTGTACGCTCAAAAAAAGTTGCTGTCAGCAGATATACATTATTAAAAGGTAGTCTTTATCCTCTGATAAAAAAAACTAAACAAACAAAAAAATATATATATATATATATAACCACGACATTTGAATCACTATCTAATCAAAGTTTTTGATTTAAATTAAATTGTATCATTTCAAAATTTGAAGCAAAAACAGAATGGTCTGACTTTAGCTTTGTGAAACTATACTACGTAAAACATCTGCAGGAAACAGAAACAGCAGAAGCTCTGAAAGAGACGCAGATTCGCTCTCTGACAGCAGGAGGCGCTCGTGGAACAGCAGCGATACAGCGTTTCCTGGGATCCCGCTGTAAACAAAGCAGCGCAGCGCTTATAAAATACAACTTTAATAAATGCATTATACAGAGGGAAAAGAAAAAAGAAAAAAAAACTCAGTTCCCCTCAGAGATACAGTCATATAAACTCCCGCCCCCAATTGTATCGCAATTCGTTTAACATCTCAACCGACTTGAATCGTCACACACACACACACACACACACACATATATATATATATATATATATATATTTTATCGTTTTTCAACTGGCTCGGCGTGCATCATTACATCTCTAGTCATGTGACCAAGATGTAGCATAGGACTGTGAAATATTTATCATGGAATGCATACTGTATACTCTTTATTTAATAGTAGGCAGAGTAGTATTTTACACAGCCGGTATGCATAACGAAATTCTTCTACTTGCAAGTCTTGTAAAAAACATCTATCTGGACCACATGACTTTGAATACCACAAAAACGTAGCGAAATGATTCATTAGGTCATGTGACTGAACCCGGTTTCTTGTACTCCACCAGCTTTGACTATAAAACATGAGATCCCCTTCAACGCCTACATGCTGAAGGAGGCTGTGGAGGATTATATGGTTAACCTGGCCGTGGTTATAGAGGATGTGGAGTCTCAGGAGAGAGTGCTGGCATCAGAAGAGTTCAACATCCGCAGCCCTACTCTCAGTGTACAGGTATATAGTGGCCCAGCATGGGCATTTAGACTAGCTTTAAAAGAAACATGACCTCCTCTACCCTTGACCCCCTTTGTCAGAAACAACAAGACGTTGTTTCATGACTAAATTAAACCATTTATAGATTTTTTTATTATCTACTCAATAAAGACATCACTCCAAGATCATAGAGATTATGTGGGAGAGCTTTTGGTAACACTTTACTTGAAACCTTTATATTTAATACATTATAATGCATTGTATGCTCTCATGAATAATTGTGACCACAGTTATAATATATTACATAGATATTATGAATACCTTTAGAATACATTACACATAAAGGGATTTTTTTTTTTTACAGAACTTAATTCACAAGTAAAAAAGAAATAAAGCTATTTGTGTTTTCTTCCAGATTCAAAATGAGTTCTCGGTCGTCATTAACACGCCACAAGTTGCCACGGTGACCTTCACAAACCTGTTCAACGTTGCAGTGAGCGGCGAACTGACCGTATCCGGTTCAGGACTCTTGGAGGAGAAGGCTCAAATGACGTGCGTAAAGAGTGACATTTTAGTTTTTAAGGCTCTTTTCTGAGCATCAACAAATGAATTCACACAAATCACTGTTTTCGAACAGGTTTTCCCAAACACTCCCCCTTTCTGCCATTGGTCAGATAGCCCCGCCCCCAAATGCACACCATTTGTTGTTACAATGTGTCAGGCTGGTTGGAACGCTCGAATAAACCAATTTCAGTGTTTCAAACAGCTATGACCTTTTTTGTGGGCGGAGCCCATCTGGTGGCAGAAAATGCCATTTAAAAAAGGTTATTTTGAATATATATATTTAAAATTCAGAGTTTTTTCTTGCGATTCTGAGATTATGTCTCACAATTCTGGTAAGAAAAATCAATTCGTCATTCTCTCTTTTTCCCTCAGCTCAAGGAAAAAGCATTTTAACGTCCAAAAAAAAAGACCCACAGTACCTTTATGTTTAATCCATTTCTGTCCCCTTACATTTCTTTAGTAGAAAATAACAGTTATTTTAAGCTTCCCAAGTCTTCTGCCAAACCCTTTCAGAGTTTACCATGGAAACCGTTATTCTATAGCAATGCCATAGTGGATAGAGATTTATACAACAATAAAGCCACATTATACATCACTGTCATTAAAAAGTAATTAACAAAATGACAGAAAGAATCTTACACTGTTTAAAATAGATCCCATATTCACTTATTTTGATTTTACAGTAGGTATTATGGAAGGAACTATGCTTGTCATGATAAATTTAGTTCATATACCTGGTGAGTGAGTCTGATGGGTATCAAACAGTCGAGTACATACAGTTTTAAATCTGTAAAGTGAGAGGGGTTGTTTCTGAGATTTTTGGCATGATTATCCTTGACAGTTTCACTGCTGCCGTGTCAGTACACACTTGTTAGTCAGCATTTCTGAAGCACTTCTGTAAACATATGCATATCACAGAAACTCATCTGAGTTCATTTGTGTGTTAAACCTACAGATGTGCACCATCATATTAACTCTTTTGTGAATCACTAACCCTAAATATGAGCAGCAGTAATAGTGACGCTTGTCTGTTTTTGCTCTAAATGTCCTGTTCCTTATATTTCAGGATTACGATCCAGCCTCAAGAAACCATGAAGAGACCCGTTAATTTCACTCCCAAGATGGCAGGTGCCAAGATGCTTTCGGCTAGTTTAGTCTTGACAAATCCAGCCACCGTCCTGCACGGATTCAAGACCATCAATGTTCAAGCATCTTAGAGTCGAACACCTTTAGACATGATTGTGTACCCTCATGAAGTGCTACACGAGTGGTTGAGACACATTTAGAAATGATTGCTTTTTACTTATTATTTTAATGTCACTATAATTTTTTTTTTACTTGATTCACTCTGAATTGTGTATTCAAGGTTATTTAGGCACCAGCCTGAAAATAAAGGATTTCGTAACATCTTCCATGCATTGTACTTGTTTGTGATCTGTTCACATGCATTTTCCAGCAGAGGGCAGACTTGCTTCAGTGAGTGCAAGCATTTCAAATACTGACATGTTGAAAAGGACACATTACAAATATTTTAGAAAAATGCTGACAAGTCCCTTCTCAAATTAAAAAGACCACAGATTACATGAGTGCTGCTTTAACTTTGGGCACTTTTGTGTCCAAGTTTGGATTTTTAGTAACATTTTTACTTGTTTTGGTTACATGTGACATTAAAACTCTCAGCCCTCCAACTAAAAGCCTTAAATCTTAAATACTCTCACATCATTAATCCTTGAGAATCAGTAAAAGTGATGCTAATACTGCAAATTATTGGCGAGACACTGCAGGTAAATAGGGTAAAAATATTAACTAATAGTTATCATCTTACTTACCCAGTTAATTGATTACATTGTGATAATTGAAAACATTTTTTATGTTACAAGTTTTCTAAAATGTTATGTTTAAATATGCAAATAAGGCAATATTTAATTAAATATGCGCTAATTTGCATAAAAATCTGAACACTGGATGAAGTCAGTTTCATAATTTTTTTTACATATTAGAATCAAATGTTTTTACAGAGGGAATTTTGGGTATCTCTTTTTGTCACTCCACAATTCAGAAAAAATCTTTCAACAGCCAGAAAACAAAATATTTTCACAATTTTGGGGGGAATGAAATGTTGTATATAATCAAGCAAATTCGATATGAACAAATCCCTCTGTAAAGACCTTCAGAATTTAGACAGGGATAAAAATGTAAAGTTTGGTGTGTGTAAGTGCTACTGAAGTGGAGATTTATGGCTCAGTGTAGGAGAAAAAACTCTTTTTGAGAAAATGGCCTTTAAAACGGTTTAGCAAGGCCGTTATAATCCACTTCAGTCTCTTGAGCATCAACGGCTTTGTTAAAGGTCTTTATGAAGAATGAAGAATTTCAGAAACCTGCATTGAAGGTGTATATTTACACAGGGAAGGGCTTCAAACTAGTAACAGTGCCTGAATTACTAACCTAGATTATTTCTACTAACAGCCTATAAACTGCCTGACCCTTCTGGAAAGTCGAAGAAAATCTTAGAAAGTCTAGTCCTGTTGTTACATCATGTATTTTAACATGACATGGGACACTTATTTGTTCAGTTTGTTTTTTTTAAATAAGATTGAATTACTCAAATGACAGTAAAATGGCTTTTGAAATCTAATTCCCGTAAAAAAAAAAAAAAAAACTAAATTAAATTAAAACATTACATAAAAAAAACTAAAACTAAAACAGATGACAAAAAAAAAACACTAAAACTTCAACTACAATTAAAATGGAAAATATAAAAATTCAAATGCTCATGTTAAACATTAATAATAAAGTGTTATTTGAATGATACACTCTCAGAAAAAAGTTACAAAAGTTGTCACCTTTTCAAAAAGTGCACCTATGTACTTTACCTCTAAAAGGTGCATATTAGTACCTTAAATGTATAAATTAATTCCTCTAGCTAAGATGTGTATCCAGCTACTCAAACCTTAAATGCTGTTATACAACCCTTTCCTCTTCTGTCAATCCAGATGAATGGTTGATCTTTTTGGATCTAAACTTTGCAGGACAGCGGATCTGCTCCTTCTATTTCTATGTTGAAATCCTCTTTGAAGACCTATTTTTATTCTTTGTTTCAACTCTTTTTGAGGGTGTACATTTTCATTTGTCCACTTGGTTGAGTTTAATATTTAGTCTAGTCTTTTATTTTGTTTTAATTCTGTTGTATATTTCCTGTACATCAACTTCTGTTGTTTTTCAATGTGCTTTATAAATCAATAAACTAAACGAAACGAAAAGAAACTTGAGAATCAAATCCACACTTGATTTTTTTTTCACCCCAATACAGATATAGCCGTGTAAAATGTTGTTTAATAAAACAGTCTTCACTATAATTATAAAAAAGATACACTCTAAAAAATGCTGGGTTAAAAATGGACAAACCCAGCTATTGGGTTGTTTTGCCCCAGCGGTTGGGTTGTTTTGACGCAGGGTTTGGGTTGTTTTGACCCAGCGGATGGGTTGTTTTGACCCAGCGGATGGGTTGTTTTGACCCAGCGGATGGGTTGTTTTGACCCAGCGGATGGGTTGTTTTGACCCAGCGGATGGGTTGTTTTGACCCAGCGGATGGGTTGTTTTGACCCAGCGGATGGGTTGTTTTGACCCAGCGGATGGGTTGTTTTGACCCAGCGGATGGGTTGTTTTGACCCAGCAGTTGGGTTCAAAACAACCCAATAGCTGTTTCAAAACAACCCAATAGCTGTTTCAAAACAACCCAATAGCTGTTTCAAAACAACCCAATAGCTGGGTCAAAACAACCCAACCGCTGGGTCAAAACAATCCAATAGCTGGTTCAAAACAACCCAACTTTTTCTGAAGTGTTTTTTGCAATGGCTATTTATAATTTACAGCCAGGTCTTGTTTCTTCATGACTTCTTCATGAAATACTCTTCAGGACCACTGACACTATAAATACCACTGATGTTTTTTCCTAATACGTATACAGAGGTTGTTTTATGTAGTATACAGTATTTCATAATCCTCCTACTTAATGAGAGTGTCATAATCAGAGTTCCTTGAAAGATGGGCAGAGTAAATTAATGATCTGGGAGTGACCTATTGTGAAACCAAGCACCACACCCCCTCCATCGCTTATCCCTTATATATCTGTCATGAGTTATATATTAATTCTCACTGGTGTGGGTGAGGGTGTGTGATCCCAGGTCCTTTCCGTGACTGTAGAGGCAATGTCATGCTTTATAAATGCAGACTATTCACAGACCATACAATGCAGAGTAAGTAAGTTCTCATGCCAGTGGCCTAACTTTGTTGTAAAAAGTGGGTGGGACAGGAGTGAGTAGGGTGTTATTATTAGGCGCGAGATAGACTATAGAATAAACAGCCTACACTCTAAAAAATGCTGGGTTGTTTCAACCCAACTTTGGGTCAAATATGGACTAACCCAGCTGTTGGGTTAAATTTTTACATTAAAATTTTAACCCAAAAGTTGGGTTAGTCCATATTTGACCCAAAGTTGGGTTGAAACAACCCAGCATTTTTTAGAGTGTAGTAATTATTTCGTCTTATTGTATTTGAGCTCCCCTGGATGCGAGCATACAGTAGGTTCATGCCTAGAATGCCTCACTAGTCTGCTGGAAAATGCATGTAAACAGAGCGCAAATAAGTTTAAGAACAATACTTTATTTTCAGGCTAAATAATCTTAAATACACTCTAAAAAAATGCTGGGTTAAATATAACCCAGCGTTTTGTAGATAGGGGACAAACCCAGCGGTTGGGTTGTTTTGATCTCAACCGCTGGGTCAAAACAACCCAATAGCTGGGTTTGTCCCTTTTTAACCCAGCGCTGGGTTATATTTAACCCAGCATTTTTTAGAGTGTATACAGTTCAGAGTGAATCAAGTAAAAAAAAAAAATTTTTACAGTGATAATACAGTGATATTTACAGTGATTAAAAAACAGGAAGCAATAAAGGTGTTTCAGAGGCTAGTTTAGTACAAATAGACCACACACTATGAGTGCTTCTTTAACTTTGGGCACTTTTTTTGTCCCAGGGATTGATTTTTAGTAACATTTTTGACTTGTGTTTATTTATTTAGTTAGTTAGTTACGTGTGACATTGGAATTAAAACCTATCCTGGAAACTTTTTACAGCCCTATTGTCGTAGTGTTGAAATATATAACAGGAATAATAATAAAAAAGGTCTCATTTGATCACATTCTTAATCTACAGTGGGTACGGAAAGTATTCAGACCCCCTTAAATTTTTTGGACTTTTGTCATAATTTAAACGACTTGTAATAAATTTGACTTATCTCATAATTATAACTTACTATCTCATCATTTCTATTTATGTCACTTAGCATCTCATAATTTAGACTTTTTGTCATAATTACGATTTTTGTCATAATATGACTGTTATTAATTATGACTTTAGACATAATAATGACTTATGTCTTAATTCCATTGTTTGTAATCATTTCAGCTGCTCTAATTTTCATTTAATTTTGTAATTATGACTTAGAAGCTCATAATTAAGACTTTTTTGTCATTTTTATTTTATGACTTTTAAGTCGACTTCGTGACATCATAATTTCAACTTTTTATGACATAATTTCAGCTTTTTATCTCATAAATATGACATTTATCTCATAATTATGATTTACCAAAGCATGATTTTTTTTCTTATATGGCAGAAATGGCTTTCTGTAGTCTCCAGTGCACTTTTTGAAAAGGTGACTTATGAGGTTTTGTTTTTAGTCAAGTCACCTTTGTCTATATAGCGCTTTATACAATACAGATTGTGTCAAAGCAGCTTTACAGTGTTAAACAGGAAAAACATGTGCTGAAAATGCAAGAGGACAATAGAAAACAGTCAGTTTATCAGCTAAAGTCAGTTCATTGTTGATTCAGTGATATCATCATCCAGCTCAGTTCAGTTCTCTTCAAATAGTGTCTGTGCATTCAAGTCAACAATGTTGCCAGAAATTATGTCCCCAACTAAGCAAGTCGAAAGGCGACAGCTGCAAGGAACCAAAACTCCATCGGTGACAGAAATGGAGAAAAAACCTTGGGAGGAACCAGGCTCAGTCGGGGGGCCCAGTTCTCCTCTGGCCAGACCAAACCAGCATGCTGTGGTTTAATTCCAGGCTGCAGCACACGTCAGACTGAGCAGAGGACTCGTCTGTTTCTCATGGTCTTGAGCCGATGGTCGACGAGGTCTTCACAGGGGATCTGTCTCTAGGGTTCGTCTAGCTGACATGGTCTCCACTGA